AAAAAAAAAAAAAAAGAAAAAGAGTAAGAAAACATTGTAATATAAGTGGGGGCAAAGGTAGCCTGAGCTAGGATGCCTGAGATTGCCCTTAACCTTTCAAGGTTGAAGAAAAATAGAAAGCCATGTTCTCTGATAAAAGTCTTTGATGCCTGTGAGGTAAGCAGCATGAGGCTGAAAGGCCAGGAGGCCGACTCAAAATAGAAATGCTTGGGTTCTTAGGACAATCCTGCTGCATTTGCTGCACTCTCACTCCCACGACTATGCTCTCCGAGACATCCACATTATTCTAAAAGCCAATTATCTTAATGTCAATTACTTAAAATACATGACTTTATAGTATGAGACATCCATTTTTAATTCAATGATTACTCAGACTTTAACTGAGTTTGACAAGTGCATATACCTTTGTAACCAAAACTCTTATTGACATGTAAAATATCACCATCATCCCGTAAAGTCCCCTCTTGCCACTTCCAACTTGATCTTCATCCCCAGGAGGCAACTATTTTTCTGATTTTTTCCCCATCATAGCCTGTCCTAAGACTTCATACAAATGGAATCAAACACTAGCTACTCTTTGTTGTAAGGCATCTCAGCATAATGTTCCAAGATTCATCCACGTACATATATTACTTTGCTCCTTTTTGTTTCTAAGAAGTGTCCTCCAAGTATATCAATATACTGCAGTTTTTAAATCTAGTTTTCTGTTAATGAACACCTAGGCTGTTCCCATTTTTTTGGCTCTTATGAATAGCTGCTGTAAACATTCTTGTATCGAAAAAAAAGAAAAAGACAATGATTACTGCTCCAAAGGACAGCTGTAGTCCCTGTATGATTCATTATTTTGCATTCTACCAGAAGTACTGATAAAGTATTTACAAGGAAACTTCCTGGAACATGATTTAAATACGTGGTTTAGCAGATATACTCATTAGGGGTGGGTGGGTCGGCAGTCTTGTGCTATAAGAAATTAAATCACTTGCATGCATTTGAAATCATGTGGACTGAAGAGACGAAAACAACTTCTATTATTTGTTCACTCACTGCTTTTCTCATATAGCCGATATTCACAAGCTCGTAACTGTTATCTGTTCTTTCCTGGGAGGTTGGATCAAAGTTGCATAGATTCTAGTGGATTAAATATTTGTGAAATTAATTTTGCCAATTCCTATGACCCTAAGAACTCTTTTAAACATCCCAAAGGAGTTTCATAAAGTCCTTGCTTCTGCCTGCAAACTGTCCTGCTTGCCTCATGCTAGCCTGATCAGCACAGTCTTAATTCCAGAGGACCTGTACTATCATTACTAGGCCTTCATGCTGCCCTCCCTTGGCTCCGGTTTTGCTGTTCCATAGGGAGCACAAAGTACTCTCCATAATGAGGTCGAGCTGTTTAAGTGCTAGAACTCCCATTTAGAACAATGAAAAAGCTAACACATATCTTTGGCCAACTATTTAACCATGTTTCTTTAGCTATTAAATTGAAATAATAACCATCCTGAATATGTTTTTAAAAAGCTTTTAAAACCAGAGCTAAAGACTCAGTATTAAAAGTTGGACTTACGGCCAGACGAGGTGGCTCATGCCTGTAATCCCAGCACTTTGGGGGGTGCTGAGGAGGGCAGACCACTTGAGGTCAAGAGTTCAAGACCAGCCTGGCCAACACGGTGAAACCCCGTCTCTACTAAAAATACAAAAAATGAACTGGGCATGGTGGTGCGTGCCTGTAATCCCAGCTACTCAGGAGGCTGAGGCAGGAGAATTGCCTGAACCCAGGAGGCGGAGGTTGCGGTGAGCCGAGATCGTGCCATTGCACTTCAGCCTGGGTAACAAGAGCGAAACTCTGTCTCAAAAAAAAAAAAAAAAAAAAAATTAGCCAGGTGTGGTGGAGCGAGCCTGTAATCCCAGCTACTTAGGAGGCTGAGGAAGGAGAATCACTTGAAGCTGGGAGACATAGGTTGCAGTGAGCTGAGATCATGCCACTGCACTCCAGGCTAGGCAACAGGGTGAGACTCTCAAAAAAAATTAATAAATAAACTGACTTATTCTCCTATGTTAATCCTATGTTAGTCCTCTTCCAGAACTCCCTATCTTAGTGATGGGATCACTACCCATCCAGAACCTCCAGTCACCTCCAAGAAGACGCCTTTGATGCCTCCACTCTCCTTCACTTTCATAGTCAACCCAACACCAAGCCTCATTGACTTCATTTCCTAAACCCCATTCAAATCCATCCAGTTCTCTCCACATGCACCGTCACCACCCTCACTTTAAAACACCCACCACCTTGTTTGCATTCCTGCCAGTCTCTTAACTCTGCTTGAGCCCTGGCAACCAGTTCCCACTGCACTGCGGTCACTACACCCAGGACCCTCCTCACCTTAAATAAAACTGTCCTCGAGATGAAAGATCTACACCTTCGCCAGGCCAAAAAGCCCTTGCCACCTCTCCGGCTTCTCCTTTATGCCTAGGTCACACTGGCCACTGGGTTCTAGAAACACAGTACTCTTGTCCTTGGTTTAGGAAACACCAGATGAATGCCTAGCGCATTCTTCTGATTACTCCCCAAATTAAGCCAGGTCTCCCATCCCTTACCCAGTTTACTGAGCTTAACATTGAATGCTTCTATAGTCAAGTTTATCTCTCCTTTAAAACATTCATTACAATTATAGTTTTGTGATGATCTTAGTACTACTGCTCTCCATCACTAGACGGCAAACTCTACGAAGCAAGGAAGAAAATGGACTTATTCATTATTGTCTTGTACCTCGCACAATAACTAGTAGCCGATTTTCCAGGTTCTTCCCTTCACCCTCCACATTTCTTTGACTTAGGTCTTTCATAACATACTTGGAGCTGAGACTTCTCAGTAAGAGAACTTAGTTTACTTCGTTCAGAGTCCTAAGCCACAGAGCCTACTAAATGATAAACGAGAAAAAAAAAATCCCAGTCACTTCGCGAGCTTCTCCACTAAGGTCTCCTCCCGCAGCAGCAGGCAGAAAGAATAATGCGCTTGTCCAGCCTTTCCTGCGCAGGCGCCTTTCTCCCGGCTCGCTCTGCCCTAGCGGTGCCAAGCAGTAAAGGGCAGGAGTGCTTCCGGGAGCAGCTGATCGGGTCGCGGGTAACAGCGGCAGCCAAGCCCACAAGAAGGCGACCAGCTGCGCGTCCCGGCCTGAGGCGGGACGTGGGGACGTACTGCGTGCGTGCGCGCGTCCGCGCACTAACGAGGACCACCAAGGTGGGATGGAAACAGGAGAGTTTAGTAGGGCCGGCGCCGACTCCAGGTCCAGCAACCTGGGAAGTTTGTGCAGCGGCTTCGCTGAAAATGGCTTTATAACCCGACAGAACCTTCTACTCCGCAGCAGGACCTGCGGGGCCTCTCCGCCATTGGTGGCGGCGGGACGGGGTGGTCCTGACCTTCCAGATGTCCTTACAGGGGCGCCCTCCAACACCACGTCCTCCCACTGCCGGTCCGCGCACCACTCTGCGCGCCTCACATTTAGCATTACCTGTGCCGGGGCAAGTGATTGGTACACTCTGGCGGGTGCACGTAAAGCGGCTCCTCTGCGATACCCCGTCGCTCTCCGTAGTGGGCGGGGCTTCTTCCTGCGTCCTTTAAAGGAGAGGTGACGTGCGGCGTTTTTCCGCCGTTGGGATTCAATTCCACCGACCGAAAATGCGAGGGGCGCGGGGGAGGTCCCTGACGGGAAATTGCTGCTCACCTGGCTCCCGCCGCTCCGCAGGTGCGGTGAAGGCCAATGTCCAGTTTCTGCGGCAATCGGAGCAGCGGTCTTCCAGTTACAGTAACACCAATCTCTGTCTCCCACTGGGGCTTTTTAAAGAGCTTTCACAAACGTCTTTTTAATGTAACATAAAATGTTTTATAAGCGTTTTTTATAAGGATCGTGAGTGAAAGGGCGCTGTCGCCGATTTGCAGGTGAGCTTCGGAGTGCGAACGGCTCCCAGAGGCAAAACGAAGCGGGGGCCGGGGCGTCAGAGCCTCAGCGTTGTAGATGGGAGAGGTTCGAACGGGGCCAGCTGGCGAAGGGGAAAAGGGACCCAGACCCGTGGAGCCCTCTCGAAAGCCGGGTGCTGGGGGTGTGGGCCGTCTGTCCCCCCTCCTTTTCTGCTTCAGTAAGAAATTCCTCAAGGGCAGACTGCGAGTCCACAGTCGTGGCTTAGTGAAGCCACCTAATCTGGCTTCATACCAGGAATGTTTGGATTCCAGGTATGAAGAGAAACTAACATTGCCCACATTTATTATTGCTTTACGTATGTGCCAAACGCTGTCCTAAGCACTGAACATATCTCAAGTTATTTAATCTTCAGGACAACTTTATGAGCCAATTACTATTATTTAACCCATTTTACAGATGAGGGAACCGAAAGAAATTTGCCCAAGATCACACAACTAGTAGCAGAATAATAATAAAAAAAAGACAACCCCAAACTCAGTCAAACCTTAAATGCTCCTTGCATTGCTAGACTGAAGTAGTGAGAGAAGCAGTAAAGTTAAAAGCACATGAAAACATTAAAGGATATGAAATATGTACAAGTAATTGAAACATTTAATGCCCAAACTAAATACTTCAAGTTTGGTAAGGTAATCGCACAAATAATTTCATCCCAAGTAATCGCTGGTAACAAGCTACCGGCCAGCTTCCATTTGCAGTCCCTCTTTGAAGGCCACTGTGTCCAGAGCAGGTGGTGTAGGAAGCTTTCTAGACTTCCATTGTCAGGTGTCTCCACACCTAGAAGATAGTGCTTTAGTCTGGGAGTTGAGACATGCAGAGATGGGATGGCTATTACAGACATGCCTGCAGATGGAGAGAAGCCTTTTTTTTTTTTTTTTTTTTAAATCTACTGTGACCTCCAGCTGAAATGAAGCTTGGCAGCTTTTATTTATTTATTTATTTATTTATTTAGATAGATAGTTTTGCTCTGCTCTGTCATCCGGGCTGGAGTGCAATGGTGTAATCTCGGCTCACTGCAACCTCCGCCTCCAGGGTTTAAGCGATTCTCCTGCCTCAGCCTCCTGAGTAGCTGGGATTACAGGCGCATGCCTGTAGCACCAGCTAATTTTTTAGTTTTTCGTAGAGACGGGGTTTAACCATGTTGGCCAGGCCGATCTCAAACTCCCGACCTCAGGTGATCTACTCCACTCGGCCTCCCAAAGTGTTGGGATTACAGGTGTGAGCCACTACCCCCAGCCATTTGGCAGCTTTTAAAGAGTCATTAAAGCCTTGAGCTCCATTTGGTGGGGGCAGACTTGGAAGATCCTTGAATAAAGATGAAGACTTTGGTTTGCGGAAGTGATACTACTATACCAAAGATCTTTTGTAAATTGATCCATTGATCAGTTTGTACAGAGAAGAGGACTCAGATATGTGGAGAGCTTTCCTAATTGTTATCATTTCTACACATAATTTACCCCCCTCAAAAATGTAACTCAATAAGACCCAAATCATGGTGACTCTAAAAATGCCTGTGTTTTCTACCACGTAGTAATTTCTACGTTAATTTCCATAGCATGCCCATGAACATTCTCTTTCAATGAATATATTGGTTATTTGCTCTGGTGAAGGGATAATGGAAATATCCTGTCCCTCTTCTCGCCTGTTAGCTTTTCAAGTCCCCCCACTTTTTTCCAATGCTGAGGGGACCTTCCAAAACAAGATTGCATGTGAGATTTACTTGCTTAACCCAAGATCATTGAGGTACAACATATCTGATCCACAAAAGAATCAGTCTGTGGGTGATTTATTTAAAAAGTTATGAACATCTTCAAACTTTAAAGCCCATGTGGTTCAGATATTCAGCAACAAATAACTGTTCATAGATTACATACTCCCCCCTCCCCAGATTATAAACTCTTACCTGAGCAGTTGTGCTAAAATTGGTGGAATTGAAGTCTATAATGTGTGAGATCCTATGTAGTACCAACTAAACGTAGCTGAGAGCAGTTATCTTAAACAGCAGCAACTCCGTCATTACAATGTCAGTTTAATAGCCAAGAGGGTCCATGCTCTCCTTAGTTGATGTTTACAGACTTGTTAAAAAAGTCATAGGAACAAGGCATGCAAGAGGCTTTGGCTGAATGTTAGGTAACTCATTCAAAACTTCCTGAAGATACTCTCAGCCTAATATCATGTGTCTATTATTGTCTGTAAAAACTATTAAAGCTGGAAGCCTTCTTGTGGAATCTTTACTATTTGCCTCAGGCAGGACTGTAATTAATCCATTCCAAACATGTATACATCTCTATATTTAAAACAAGACAAAAAAAAAAAAAAAAACCCTCGAAGCAAGGAGATTTAGCTTCTCATTTCAATGCTTTATAAGATGGGAGTCTTTTCCTTTCTGTAACCTAAATCCATCATGCTTCTACTTAGTCTGGTTCCGCAGTAGAGCCGGAGAACATCTGGTGACCACATCTGTATTATAACCCTTCATGAGCTCTCACACTATTTACTAGATTCAGAATGAATTTCCTTACCATGGGTAAGATTTCCCATAACATTAGACTCCAGATTAATCATTTCTTTTGTCAGAATATGATGGTATCAGTTATTAAAACGTGCTGGTGGTTGTGAATCAGCAAAATAAATTGGTCTAAAATGAATGACATATTGTAATAAATTTTTTAAAGCTTTCATAACTGCTAAATAAAAATATTTGTATATGGAAGATCCATTTATCTTCTGTGAAAAGTCTCTTGTGCAACTGCAGAAGCAGAAAATAGGTTCAAAAGTTTCATCTGGAACACAACAGAGACATGTCTTTCCATTTCAGAGGTATTGAGTTTTTAACTTTGATCATTTTGAAACAATGAAAATAATTTCTATTGCCATCATAGGACATCATGCAGAACAACAAAGAGCTAGTACAAAATGTACCATGCTGATTACTGTGTGGATAAAGCAAACCAGGACCAAATGATGAATTAGCATTTGACATTTAGAATGTAACCCAGCTGGGCGCGGTGTCTCACGCCTGTAATCCCAGCACTTTGGGAGGCTGAGGCAGGCAGATCATGAGGTCAGGAGTTTGAGACCGGCATGGCCAACATGGTGAAACCCCATCAAAAAAAAAAAAAAAAAAATTAGCCTGGCATGGTGGTGCGCACTCGTAGTCCCAGCTACTCGGAAGGCTGAGGCAGGAAAATCCCTTGAACCAGGGAGGTGGAGGTTGCAGGGAGCCAAGAATGCACCACTGAACTCAGGCCTGGGTGACAGAGGAATACTCCATCTCAAAAAAATGGAATGCAACTCTATACTATTTTTAAACACCTGCAAGAGACGTAATTACAAGACTAAGGAGGAGAGGACTGACAGCAAATAGAATGTTTGTGATAAATTTGTGCTCTCACAATTTCCCATCTTAGAGGCAAATGGAATTAAAGGCAAATTATTACATTTTGGGAAGTTCCTCAGATGTGGAGTTTCAGATGTTTACTGTATAGGGAAGCAGACTTTCCACTGTACATTGGAGTCATTGTTTTGCTGCTTTTTCGCCTTGCAAGTTGCTAGGTTCCGCTGTGAAGATTTTTAAAGCCTGCTTTGTTGGCAGCCTAGGACACATCCCTGACCTTACGAAAGTGGAAGTGAAAGCTCTTAGTTTTTCTTCTTTTTCTTTTTTTTTTTTTTTTTTCAACAGTAAATCTACTAATTTTACAGTCAGTTGAACAGCAATAGATTAATTTGTGTAAAGTCTGCATTCACAAAGAAAATCTGAACTTCAGTGGCTTGAATGCCTGAAGCTGCAGTGTGATATTTGAAGGATAGTCACTCTTACAACTTGCCGTAGAAGGAGGCAGGCAGTTCACTGTCACCTGCTTCTCGGCACAGGTGCTGACCCCGCGGTCGACTCGGGGCCTCCTGATGGGGTGGCAGGAAGGCTGGGCCTTTGTGTGCTACAGAGAACGCTTTTCCAATGACTGGGCCAGTTCTCTCCAGCAGCCACAGGAAACAGAAGAAAGAAGAGGTTAAGGGCCGCCACGAGGGTCAGAATGGGTTAAATTTAGTTAACATCAGAGGTTATAGCTTTTAACAAGAGCTTCAAGAAAACTTATTTGAAGATGCAATTTGTTTCTTCTTTGTCCACTGTTATTTTTTTCCCCCT